CTTCTTGACTTCTGGTCCTTTCCCACCTCCCTGCTCTCCCAGAATCCTGTAGTAAACGGGTGAGGGCCAAGGGGAGGGGGACAGCTCTGGAGAAAACAAGCAGCAGTTGTAAAAGCCAGAGAGAAGGCTGTGCTAAAAATTCAAGGACAGGGACGTCCTAAGAGATTGGGGGCAAGCAGAAGTGAAAAATACAGAGTACGGAATAAAAAAAAAAAATCTTAAAAAAAAAAAAAGAGGGCGCCTGGGTGGCTCAGTTGGTTGGGCAACTGCCTTCGGCTCAGGTCATGATCCTGGAGTCCCCGGATCAAGTCCCGCATCGGGCTCCCTGCTCAGCGGGGAGTCTGTTTCTCCCTCTGACCCTCCCCCCCCCTCATGCTCTCTCTCATTCTCTCTCTCTCTCAAATAAATAAATAATAAAAAAAATCTTTAAGAAAAATACATAGTATGGGCAGGGTGCAGGCAAGGTGTAGGGCCCAAGGAAAGGGACTCTGTCCTCAGGGACTCTCCTCTGCCCGCCCCCTCCCCCCCAGCAGCCCAGGACGACAAGATGCCAGGAGGGGAGGAGTGTGAGCCCCACTCCCAGCCGTGGCAAGTGGCCTTATTTGAGCGTGGGCACTTCAACTGCGGTGCTTCTCTCATTTCCGCACACTGGGTGCTGTCTGCAGCCCACTGCCAAACCCGGTATGAAGCCAGGGCTCTAAGTCCTGAGGGGCACGCGGCAAAAGTCTAGGGATCTGAGAATCTTGGATCCCGAGGAGGAAAGAGCAGGAGCCTGGGGGTTGAGGGGTCGAGTTCGGGGTGGGTGCACCTCCTTGGTCCCTGAGGGGCAGCGGCTCGAGCCATCCCTGGCTTCGGCGCCTTGGGCAGAGGGTAATGGCATCTCCAGACTCCGCAGGGTGGGGGGCCCCCAGCCCGCCGCTCTTGGATCTTTCTGCCTACCCCTCACTCGGCTTGCGGGTGATCCCCCGCCCGCACAGCTTCCTGAGAGCGCGCCTGGGCCAGCACAACCTGCGCAAGGGCGATGGCCCCGAGCAGCTGCGGACTGTGGCTCGCATCCTCCCGCCCCCGGGCTACGAAGCCCGCAGCCATCGCCACGACATCCTGCTGCTCCGTCTAACCCGGCCCGCGCGCCTGTCCCCGCAAGTGCGCCCCGGGGCGCTGCCCACGCGTTGCCCCCAGCCGGGTGAGGCCTGCGTGGTGTCCGGCTGGGGCCTGGTGCCTGATGACAAGCCTGGGACCAAAGGGAGCACAGAGTCACAAGGTGCGTGAAAGGATGGTGCTGGGTGTCAGGCCTCCAGGGACCCTATTCTCCAGGGCTCTCGGGCAAAGAAGACAAGGGCCTGAGGGACGTCCTAAGAGATTGGGGACAAGCAGAAGTGAAAAATACATAGTACGGAATAATAATAAAAAAAAATCTTAAAAAAAAAAAAAAAAGAGGGCGCCTGGGTGGCTCAGTTGGTTAAGCGACTGCCTTCGGCTCAGGTCATGATCCTGGAGTCCCGGGATTCACTCCAAGTCCACTGTCTTCCCCAGTGAGTCTCCCGGATACGCTGCATTGTGCCAACATCAGTGTTATCCCGGCCACATCTTGTAACAGGGACTACCCAGGGCGCCTGGTGGCCTCTATGGTGTGTGCAGGAGTAGAGGGCGGAGGCATGGATTCCTGTGAGGTCAGAGCCATGGGGCAGGGGGACAGGTTTGGGAGTTGGGATGGGATCAGGTTATGCTTGCTTTGGGCCAGAAAAGATGCTAGGGATAGGTTTGGGGATGGGGAAGGAAGAGCAGTTAGAATGGGGATGAGGTTGGAGATGGATTGGGTTGTGCTTGGGGTGCACGATTTGGCGGTTGGTTTGGAATGGCCTGGGTTTGAGTTAAGAACAGGAATGGGCTTGGGGCACCTGGGTCGCTCAGTCGGTTAAGCGTCTACCTTCGGTTCAGGTCATGATCTCAGGGTCTGGGATCCAGCCCGATGCCCGGCTCCCTGCTCAGCGGGGCATCTGCCTCTCCCTCTGGCCCTCTGCTCGTGCTCTCTCTCTCTCTCAAATAAATAAAATATTTTTTTAAAAAAAGAATAGGTGGGCACCTGTGTGGCTCAGTCAGTTAAGCAGTTGCCTTCGGCTCAGGTCATGATCCCAGGGTCCTGGGATGGAGTCTCGCATCAGGCTCTCTGCTCAGTGGAGAGCCTGCTTCTCCTTCTCCCTCTGCCTGCTTCTCTGCCTACTTGGTTTTTTTTTAAAGATTTTATTTATTTATTTGACAGAGAGAAACACAGTGAGAGAGGGAACACAAGCAGGGGGAGTGGGAGAGGGAGAAGCAGGCTCCCCGCTGAGCAGACCCCAGGATCATGACCCGAGCTGAAGGCAGACGCCCAACAACTGAGCCACCCAGGCGCCCCTTCTCTGCCTACTTGTACTCTCTCTCTATCTCTCTGTCAAATAAATAAATAAAATCTTTATTTAAAAAAAAAAAACAGGAATGGGCTTGGTTTAATTTTTTTTTAAGATGTATTCATTTATTTTAGGGAGAGAGAGAGAGCACGAGGTGGGAAGGGGGCAGAGCGAGAGGGAGAGAGAGAATCTTGAGCAGACTCCCTGCTAAGTACGGAGCCTGCAGCCTGGAGCCCTATGTGGGGCTCCATCTCAGGACCCTGAGCCGAAATCAAGGGTCAGACGCTTAACCGACTGAGCCACCCCAGCACCCAAACCAAACCAAACCAGTGCCCCTGGTTTGATTTTAGATGGAAAATATGTTGGGTTGAATTGGGGATAGGGCAAACTTTGTCTAGGATGTGAAAGACATGATGACTGGGATTGGTTGTGTTGGCAGTGAGGATGGGAGTAGGTCTGGTTTGATTCCGAATGGGGAAGATGTAGGTGTTTGATTGGGTTGGGGTTACATGGGAAGGATAGAACATGGGTTGGCCAAGTTGTATTGACTTGTGTTGGGTTGGATTGGTTTGGGTTAAACTGGGTTGTATTGAGTTGAGTTGGGGTGGGATTGCATGGGGTGGGGTTGGATTGGATTTTGATTGAGGTTGTGAATGTGATTGGGATAGGGATGGGGGCACCGGGATCCAGAAATTTCCCATTCACACTTTCCCTTCTTCCCACAGGGTGACTCCGGGGGACCCCTAGTCTGTGGGGGAGTCCTGCAGGGCATTGTGTCCTGGGGTGATGTCCCCTGTGATGCTACAATGAAGCCTGGAGTCTATACCAAAGTCTGCAGCTACTTGGAGTGGATTAAGGAAACCATGAAGAAGAACTGACCATTTTGGTCTACCACCTATGTCGCTGACTGAACGGAAGCTCCCAGAGCTGACCAGCAGCTGACCTGACCTGGGACAGTGTTGGGCCATCCCTCAAGACCTCATTTGTCCAAGGCACAGATGTTAGCCAAGGACTTGTCCCGTCTCAGGCCAGAGCCGGTGCTCAAGGTCACCTGTTTAAACGCCGAGATAACAAGAGTGCTGATGCAAGTTTCTCTGTAGGAGTTTCTGTGACTTTCTTCTGGGGATGAAGGGAAGTGGGAGCCAGAGACTGGTTGGGGACCCAACCCTACTGTATATTGTTCCTTTTCGCCCACTGCCCCAATACCTAGGTGAAGAGAAATGGCTTGAAGTAGGGCTCTCTTCATTCACATATGCATAGGATCAGCTGTGTAATCTTGAGGAAAAGACCCAATGCCCCTCAGCTTCCGTTTCCCCATCTGTAAAACAGAGATCATCGTATTGCTTACCTCACAGGGTTGTAAGAATTAAATAAGGAGGTTCATATGAACTGATTCAAATAGTGCCTGGCACTGGGGAAATATATCTCTGGACCCCAGTGAAAAGACCCAGCACACACTAGATGATCAAGAATGACCTCATTGTCTTCGCGATTTAGTTGTGGGCTTCCTGGTAGCCAGGCAAAAAGGCAAATGTTCTCCTTTCCTTAGGCACACACAGTGGAGGCTGAGTTATCCTGCGACCTACTTTGATTTTACTGAAGAACCAAGGGAGGGTGTCAGGGGCCTATGAATTTAACACTGAGGCTGCAGAAATCTGCTTCCCAATTCTCAACAGAGATCCCCCCCCAAATGTGATCTTCAAGGTCACCCAATGTTGAACTACATGAACCTGGCTCCTGAGACCTAAATATTTTACTGGGGGAAGGGAAATTAGAATTTGTGGAGAGGATGCTCTTGATGGTGGAAGGCAGATTGTCTGGAATTCGTGGGACTTTGGAGGACATAACCTTGAGTATCCAGATCTGGGGAACAAGGAGTAGGTGTGGGGTATAATGGGATCCCAGCATTGTTTGGGGGCAGGGGGACATTGGATTTTGAAATGCTAGGGAACTTATTCAGGGAGACCACTGAAACTTCATATTTCTGGATCTGGGGGCACTAGGATTGTGGTACCCACCACAATTTTATTTGGAGAGAAACAATAGATTGGGGCCTAGATCCTGAGTCCGGGAGTGCCAGAGTCAGGGTGTTCTGAAAGCCAAAGCTATGTTTTGGAGACAGCTGAAGCTGGGAGACTGGCATTTTGGCTCCAAGTGGTGCAGGGAGAAAGGAATCAGAGCCCCACTGCTGGTGTTTGAGGGTGCACTGAGTCCTTGGGGTTCCAGTATATGGGGCTTTGTATTGGAGGTCAGTGATTCCTCCACTCTCCTCTTTCTTCTCCCACTCACCCCCGCACACCTCCCCTCATTGTCTCTGTCTCCCTGAGCAGGGGCCCAGGAGCTCCAGGCCCTGCCCTGTCTGGCCTCAGGCCCCAGGAATGCTTCCAGCACAATCAGGGCCCACAGAATAACAGGTGCTCGCTCTCCCGCCCTTTCCGCAGCTCTGGGGTGGGAGGAGGTGTCCAGCCCCCAGGCAGCAGGGGCAGGGCCTTGGCCAGCATCTGGGTGCCAGCAGGGCAGGGGTGGGGCTGGGGGGGGGTAGTGAGGGCTTTAAAACACTCCTTGGTGAGGCTTCCAAGCTCCAAGCTCACCACCAGCCTGCCCGTGGTCACCATGTGGTTCCTGGTTCTGTGCTTTGCCCTGTCCCTGGCAGGGACTGGTGAGACAGTGGGGAAGATGTGGGGTGGGGGAGTGGGCCCGACTCTCATGCTTCCCTCAGCCCCCATAACTTCTTCCTATCCCACAGTCCACCCCAGACCCAGGTCCCAGGCTCTCTCCCAGGCCCCTAAAGTCCTACTTCAGCCCCTCCTCCTGGTCACAGTCCTCATTCTCGCAATCGGTCCCTGCTCCCTCCCAGGAACCCCCAGAACTTTCTCTTCTTCCCCACTCAGACTCCTGCCCCTCACCAAAGAGGCCAAGCCTGGGCCATCTCTGTCTCTCTCTTTGGGGGACTCCAACTCTTCCAAGGAGTGCTCCCAATCCCAGCAGACCCTGGGACCCTGATCACCCCCACCCACCCCCTTGTTCTCTATGGCTCTGTCTCCTGAGTCCCCAAATCCTTCTACACCCTGGTGATTTTTCCCATCTGGCTGTCAGCTCTCAACTAGGTCCTCTAGTCCCTGATATCTGGTTCCCTTTAAATCTTCCCAGGACCCCCAAATTCCCTCAGACACCTACTCGTCTCCCCAAACAGACTTTCTGGCCTGTGACTCCAGGTGGGCCCACCCATCCGGTATGAGGGTCCTACAAATGTCTCTTCCTTACCCAACTCTTTGACCCTGAACCCTGATCCAGCATCCCCCTTTTTTCCCTGAGGAAGAACACCCAGAACCCCCAACTATAGGTTCCTTTCCTTGTGTAATTTCCTTCCTCCCCATGCTCCAGCCCTCCCCAAGTGAATCCCTCCTGTATGGCTCTGGTTTTCTGGGCTTCTCTCCAGGATCCCAAATACCTTCACAGCCCCGCTGTCCTGCCCTACCTCCCTCAGTACTCCGGCATATGATTCTAAAACTCCACATCAAGTGGGTCCTCCCTGCATTCCCACAGCTGCTTGGCCCCAATATGCCTCCATCTTCATTCCTGTCCGGCACCACCCCCGAGAGAACCCCAGATCCCTCCAGTATCCTCAGACTATGAACCCCATCTCCATGAGAATCACCCAATCCCAGAAGAACTGTCATCCAGCTCTGCCTCCCCCTGAGCCCCCTCCCAGTCCTGACCCCAACTCCAGTTCCACGGCCTCACCCCTCTTACAAAGCCATTCCTGTTCAAGGACCCCAGACCCCCAGAGGACCTTCTCCCAGCCCCAGTCAAGGGACCTCAAGATACACACAGACTCCTCAGCCCAGATGCTATTCTTGGCCTCTCAGACCTACTTCCCCTGCATCTTTAAAGAACCCCAAAACCCAACCTAGACCCGAACCAATTCTTCAGCCTGGGATCCCTGTAACCCCCCCAAATCCTTCCTTCCCAGCTTTTGAGCCACTCTCTAGGGGCCCTACATTCTCTGTTCCTAGAATCTTTTTTCCCTCTCAGAACTTACAATTTTCTGTTCCCCAGGCCAAGACCCCAAATCACCCCCTTATCACCCAATCCCCACGTCACATGCTACTCACACGCTGCCTTCTTGTCTCCTGCCTGATCCCTGTGGTTGGCTCTGTTCTCAGCATAGTCTCCCCACCCAGGACCCACCACCAACCCATAATCCCAAGAATGGCTCCAGAATTCCAGAAACTTCCCACACCCCTTGCCCATCTCCCCAGACCCCCAGCCCTGCTCTTCTGCCCCCATGTCCCTCCAACCCAACATTACAGCTCCCTCTTCTAGCCCAGGACCCCTGGCCCCGCTGCCGCCTCCCACCTGCCCTGACCCAGCACCCCTTCCACAGGAGCCGCGCCCCCCATCCAGTCCCGGATCATAGGAGGCTGGGACTGTGAGCAGAATTCCCAACCCTGGCAGGCAGCTCTGTACCATTACAGCAAGTTCCAGTGTGGGGGTGTCCTGGTGAACCCACAGTGGGTGCTCACAGCTGCCCACTGCATAAACGAGTGAGTGGGGGCAGGGCGTGTGGGAAGGGGGTGTCTGTGCTCCCACAGGAATAAACAACTGGGCACCGACCCTGGGTTCACCTCAGGGGAGGCTGGGGGACTGAGGGAAACAGATGGTACTAGTCTGGGTCCCATGGAGAGTGGCAGGGACAACCCCAGGGAAGCCCTCCCATGGCAGCCTGTGTCTCTGTCTCTCCCTGTAACTGTGTCTCTGTGTCTCTCAGTAACTGGCTCTGTTGTGTGTCTATCTGAGTATGATTTATCCCTGTCTCTCTCTCTCTGTTTGGTCTCGGTGTCTCTGTGTGTCTCCCTGTGTCTGTCCACCTCTGGGTCCCTCTGCTGCCTCCCTGTCACTGTAGGTCTCACCCTCTATCTCTCTGCCCCATCTCTCTCTCTCTCTCTCTCTCTGGGTCTCTGCCTCACTCCCTCTCCCCCATTGCTGCTGAGCACCCCCAGGATGGGACTGAGGGGGACCCCCAGAGAAAAAGAAGGGATTATCCTGAGATGTATGTGTGAGGGGGCTTCTCATGTGCCCAGCCCCTCCGTCCAGGACAATGATGCACTGCAGGGGACACAGGGAAAGGCTGGTTTCAGCTGGAGCCTGGTGGGGGCCTTGGAGGAAGGAGGAGGAGAAAGAGGAGGAGGAGGAGGAAGGGGGAGAAAGTCTGGGGAGGGAGGTGGAGCAGACCTTGGGCTGGGGGCCAGGCCAGCGGCTGCTGGGGAGCCAGCCCCACAGCCCCTGCTGCAGCTGAGCTGGTCCCAGGCCCCCTCCCTGCTCCTCCCATCCTCCCTCCCTGTTCTCCCTCCCCGTTCTCTCTCAGGCTGGGCCCCACCCCCACCACCACTCCTCACTCTCTCCCTTTGCTTCCTGGCCCTGTCTCACTGAGTCTGCGGCGCCTTCTTCTCCCTGTCTGTTCCTTCCCTCCTGCTCCTTCCCTCCCAGGGACTCTTTCTTCTGTCTCTCTCTCCTTTGTGCTCTGTCTCTCACTGTCCTCCCTCTGCCTCTCATCCACTCTCCCTTTGTGCTCTCTGTTTTTCAGGCTCCCTGTCTTTGACCTTGTCACATCCTTCTGTCACTCAGTCTTTTCTTCATAGCTCTTTATCTTCCCAACTGTCTCTCCCTCCAAGGTTACTCCTTGTTTCTGTCTTTGGGACGCTCCCTGGCCCCATCTCCCTTTCCCCCTCCTCTCTCCTCATTCCCTGGGGCCCCCTCTCTCCCCAGCAATTACCAGCTCTGGCTGGGTCGCCACAACCTGTTCGAGCATGAAGACACAGCCCAGTTTGTCCAGGTCAGTCATAGCTTCCCACACCCTGAATTCAAGCTGAACCTCCTAAAGAACCATACCCAGCTCCCCGGAGAGGACTATAGCCATGACCTCATGCTGCTGCGCCTGGCAGAGCCCGCCCAGATTACAGATGCTGTGAGGGTCCTGGACCTGCCCACCCAGGAACCCCAGCTGGGGAGCACCTGCTATGCCTCTGGCTGGGGCAGCATTGAACCAGATAAGTGTACGTGGGGGGCCAGACCATGCAGCCTGGAGCCCAGACACTTGGGTGTAGGGAGGAGGGGGCTGGGGACCGGACTCAGGGTCTGAGTGAGGAGAGGCTGAGGAGTCACCGGGGGTCTGGTCACAGCCCTTTTAATCTCTGGTCTGTAGTCATATACCCAGACGATCTCCAGTGTGTGGACCTCAAACTCCTCTCCAATGATGTATGTGCCAAAGCCCACTCCCAGAAGGTGACAGAGTTCATGCTGTGTGCTGGACACTTGGAGGGCGGCAAGGACACCTGTGCGGTGAGCCAGCCGGCCCCCCACCCCCAGGCCTCCAGGTGCTGGGGGAGGGGACTCAGGTTCTGGACTGCTGTTGAGAGCTAACCAGGCATCCGTCTCCACTGCTGCCCAACTCCAGCTTCTCCCAACCGAGCCTCAGCGCCCTCCCCCCCCCCGCCCCCTTTCCTTCCCACACCCTCATCCCGGTGTCCCACGGATCTCCCTCCTCCACATCAAAGTTCACCTCTGTTGGAATCCCGACGCCCTCGGGCAGTGGACTCTGGAGAGAACTGCGTCTCTTCCGGGAGCACTGTGCGCGCTCTGTGAGCCCAGGTGTTAGAGCTGGTGCTCCACAGGCGGAACCGGGGACCTTGCTGACCTTCCTTTTGCTCTCCCCTTTGTGCCGCAGGGTGACTCGGGGGGCCCACTGATCTGCGATGGTGTGCTTCACGGAATCACGTCCTGGGGCCACATCCCATGTGGCAGCCCCAGTGTGCCCGCGGTCTACACCAAAGTGATCTCGCACCTGGAGTGGATCAAGGAGACCATGACAGCCAATTCCTGAATGCCCCCACCATGTTCTCTACCCCAGTAAAATCGAATACGCATCCAATTCGCATCACATTTCGTGTCCTCTGGCCCTCCAGACGCCGGGAACCTGGAAGCTGGGGATCCACCCAGCCCAGTCTAGAATCCTCTACCGCCCTCCCAGGCTCGCGGCAGGAGGCGTGCGCGAATGAGCTAGGGAAAAGGAAGGAGCAGAAACAGGTGTAGACAAACTGGCAGAGAGAAGCTCAGACCCCCACGGGCAAGCAAGGCAGGCACTCGATACCGGTTCACGCATTTGGACCCGACCCTGCTCTAGGGGAAGAGGACGCAAGGGAGGGTCGGACTTAAAGGTTGTGAGGCGCCCACGTTTTATTGTGTCGGAAACGTCAGTAAGGGGGGGCGGGTAGGAAATGTTATCACAAGCCACGCCTTTCGGGGGAGAGGCTGGTTCCCCAGCACCGCGTAGCTACATCGAATACTGGGCAGTTCAGTGCCCCGCCGGGGGCGTGACTGGATACCCAGGGGCGGGACTCGCCCTCGGAAGGGGAGGAGTCCCCAAGTTGGAGTGCAACTTCGGGGCGTGGCCTTAGGGGGCGAGCTGACGGGGCGGTGTCGCGCTGTAGGGGTGGGGGCAGGAAGAGGAGCCAGCGGGCGGGAACAGAGCTGCAAAGGGTAAACCCTAGCTCGAGGGGTGGGGCATGTTCCTTGGGAGTGGGGCCTCGAAGGGAGGTCTAAGCTCGGGCACGTGGCCACGATGAAGGGGACGGGCCCGGTATCTGACTGCGGTCACTGGTCAGCATCCTGAGAAGCTCGGGTGCTACTGCTTCGAGAGGCTTGAGGGGGTGAGTGCATTGGGCAGGTCCCGGTCGGCGGCGGACTGTCCTTGGGACATGCGTCTCGTGGTGTTCTGCTGCCAGGCCCACCGACGATCCTCACCCGCCGCTCCTTAATGGACGTCCTTTTGCTCCACATGCCCACGTGGTTTAAGTAGCTCAGAGCTCCTGCGGGCGGGAGGGCCAGGGGCCGCTGAACTCCGAGCCCCGCCCTAGGCCCCGCCCCATCCCTCGAGGGCGCCTCCCCTCGGCTCCGCCCCTACCCGGCCCCAGGCCCGCCTCCAGTTGTCCCCGGGCTCCGCCCCCTGCCCCGCCGAGGCCCCGCCCCTTCCTCCCGAGGCCCCGCCCTCACCGGCCCACAGCATCAAGGCGCCGGCAGCCCAGCACAGGTAGGTGGTCACCAGGTAGGATACCTGTGGCCTCGGGCGCAACGTCTCGCAGTTGACTACAAAGAGTGTCAGACTGAGAACAATCAGGAGCCCTGCACTGGGGTGGGGCCAGAGATGGACACAAGGCTGGACAGGGACCCCAGGACCCCCCAGAAGAGAGAAGAGAGACACACGGCCTCTCCGCGACAAGCCATTGTGTGTGCGCGCGCACATACACACACACACTCCCGTGACGGACAGAAAGACACCCTGATGGAAGTGTAAAGGAGGAGAGGGGAGGGGAAACAGGGAGGAGAGAGAGATACCCGCTACGGCCACCCCGTAGAATTGAGATGCACACAGAAAGAGTGGGGCAGAGACCCCAACTGCCGTTCAAAGACCGACCCAGCAGATAGCACCTCTTACCCCAAGCCGACACTTACCAATGCTGAAGCTGAGAGAACTGAAGACAAGGTCAATCTTAGTTAGGCGTCGGAAGACTGGCCGGAAGGAGAGGCCCATGGTGGGGAGGAGGATGAGACACAGGGTCAGGGCCAGCATCATGAAGCCCATGCTCATATGGATGAGAACTAGGGGGAGAAGAGGAAGTGCTCCAGAGTCATCCCCAGACACTCTCCAAGGTCATCCTCCGATCTCATCCCACTGACATCCCCATGAGCAGCCCAATGGACACCCCCAAAGTTTGGCAACAGACATCCTCAACTTCACCCCCACGCCCATCACCTAAGTTCCTTCCTAGAAACCCCAAAATGACTCTCACTCTCACAAAGTCCCCCCAGGCACCTGTAAAGTCAAAATCATCCCCAACTATACCCTCAAATTTGTCCCAAATCACCCCCCACCTACCCCAAAGTCAACCCCAGAACGCTCATAATCAACTCCACCCATACAGATGACCCCTGAGTCACCCCCACTCACATCCTCAAAGTCACCCCACAGAATCATCTCAACCATTTCTAGAGTCATCCCCACAGACACCTCCAAAGTCATCCCACTCGTACTCCCAAAAGGCATCCCACAGCAACTCACATTAATACCCTCCGTATCACACTCAGACACTCCCAATAGCACCCTCAAAATTATCCAAGACACTTTAGTCACCCATAGTCTCCAAAATCACCCTACTTCTGCTAAAGTCTCTCCCATTCACATCCCAAGGTCTCCTAGTTATCCCATTTACACTCCCGGAACCTCCTGAATATCACCTCCATTCACATCCCAGAGCCCCCCACAGACATTCTCCAAATCACCCACCTTGACCCCCAGAGCATACACAGATATGTACACACAAGAAAAACTTCCAAATACCCTAAAACCACATAATCCCACTCAGTCTGAGTTGCTATTTATCCAATATACATTTCAAAACAAGAATTTTGGCCCCTTCTGAGAACTACATCTCCTTTTAGCCCTTCCCTACTTTGCCCACTTTTGAACAGTGCAAGACGGTTTCAGCCAAATAAGCTAAGACTCCATCTACTTTGTTTCTGGCAAACTGTGTATCTCTAACACGTAACCAGAAACCTAACCAGAAAGTAAAAGCTTGGTCATATATACAGAATAGCAAGAGTCCTCTGGGGATCAATCACAAAATCCTGGTTGAGGACTTATGACATGCTTTGCCTTCTGGGGCCATAAAAATAGTCATGACTCTGGCTGAACCAATCACAGTGTCCCATACCACAGGCCATGGTGATTGGCCCAAAGATGGGCACATGACCAAAGCCAACTAATCAAGCTCTGCTCTGGGATTTCTCTCTCTTTTTTCTTTTCTTTTCTTTTTTTTAGATTTTATTTATTTATTTGAGAGAGAGATAAAGAGCACAAGCAGGGGGAGTGGCAGGCAGAGGGAGAAGCAGGCTCCCTGCCAAGCAAGCACCCTGGGATCATGACCTGAGCCAAAGGCAGATGCTTAACCAACTGAGCCACCCAGGCGCCCCTGGGACTTTTTCTAACTGAAGCTGTCAAGAGCGCTCTTTCCTCTAGTCAAGAGGATTATGAGCCTGGAGCTGTCTGAGCCTTGGACCCAGTCTCATGAGGGCAGGAGATCTGATAGAGTAAAACTAAGAAAGAAAAGCAGACAAGAGGACAGGAGAAAGAGAGTTGAGATGACATTCAAGTCCCTGGCTCTTGTCATCCCAGAGACTAGAGTACCTGTGGTTTGGTCAGAAGTAGACATTTGTGGTGTAAGCCTCAAAGTCCATTCCCTACTCTCAGCCCCAGTTATAAGCCAATCAATGCATTGCATTGCTCTGCTGCTATATTTGTTTTGGGGTGCTCATGTGACCCAGCCACACAAGACTTTCGTAGGAACTTTCTGTGTTCTTTTTCCTGCCAGACTTGAGGCCACGTTGTTAGTATTTCTGCCAGTTGTCTGTCTGTCTGCTCTCAGATCCATTCCCCACCCTTCCCTGTTCTGTATTGCAAGGACTACATTTCTGAGCCTCCTTTGCTCATTGGCTTATCAGTATGTTTGGCTTATGGGCAGCACCAGCAGAAGACTAGCTCTGGAAGGAGAGGACAAGCCAGTGTATTTATTTCCCTCTCCCCAATCCCCACCTCAGCTGGTGTCTTTATTAGCAGTAGCTGCATTTTTTTTTTTTCCTGTGATTCTAGTCACCTCTAAGCAAATCCCACCATGAGTCTATGCCTTCCAGATGGCTCCAGCTTCCAGGCTCTGGTAAGACCACCACCTCCCTTTCTTCTGTCCCTATATTTACCCCCTCTGAAGCATCTAGAATGATTTATTTTCCTAACTAGATCCTGACTTATCACAATGTGGAGACTTGAGAATGAGGCCAATTTAAGTACCCAAGAAAGAGACAGATAATAATGTCTGATGCTCTCACTTGGACTCTTGAATTCAGCCATGCCTGAAAGCATTCCTACTCCCACTCTTTTTCATTTGGGTGAGACCATAAACTCCTTCACTCAAGCTATTTCAAGTCAGAGTTTCTGTTACTTATGATCCCAAAGATTCCTGACTAATTCAAATCCTTTCTGTAAGTTGGCAAGGAGCACAAGATTCGATGCTGCCTACATACCATACCCTAAAATCACAGTCAAACCCTAACACACACACACACACACACACACACACACACACAACCAGAATTGCATTTTCACCAAAAATCTAGAGGGAGAAGAACTCTCCAAAGCTGAGAAGCAATTGGTAAAATCTCGAGGCAAAAGTGGGGAAATTAGAACATAAAAATTCTAAGTTTCTACACCTTAAAAAAAGCCCTCATAACCTATATGTTATGTCTTTATGCCAACCATAAGGCATTGTACATTCTTAGCATTCAATAAATGATGATTTACTTTTAAAAAGAGAGCTGTAATACGGCCTGTGTGTTTTTTAAGTGATAAACATATACATTATATAGAGAGACATACTTATATGTGTGGGTGTGTATGTATGTGTTTGTAGATAAACATAGCTATATTCTCATATGTGCAGAAAATAAGACTAGAAGAACACACGAGAGCTTAAAAATGGCTTAGTAGCATCAGTTGCCCCCAGGAAGGGGAATGGGTGGGATGGGAGACAGAAATGCGAGGGAGACTCTTGCACTTGTTAAAATGTTGAACTGTGTAAATATATTGCTTGTTCAAATAAAAGTAACCTAAATTTTAAAATAAAAAAAACTGGGGCGCCTGGGTGGCTCAGTCGGTTAAGCGACTGCCTTCGGCTCAGGTCATGATCCCGGGGTCCTGGGATCGAGTCCCGCATCAGGCTCCCTGCTCAGCAGGGAGTCTGCTTCTCCCTCTGACCCTCTCCCCTCTCGTGCTGTTTCTCTCTCTCTCTCTCAAATAAATAAATAAATAAAATCTTTAAAAAATATAAAAATAAGAATAAAATAAAATAAAAACAAACTTTAGGGGCACCTGGGTGGCTCAGTCATTAAGCATCTGCCTTCGGCTCAGGTCATGATCCCAGGGTCCTGGGATCGAGCCCCACATCGGGCTCCCTGCTCGGCAGGAAGCCTGCTTCTCCCTCTCCCATTCCCCCTGCTTGTGTTCCCTCTCTCACTGTGTCTCTCTCTCAAATAAATAAAATCTTTTAAAAAAACAAAACAAAACAAAAAAACTTTAAAATCACCCAAAGTGGTGATTAACATAACAATAAAAAATTTAAAATAAAATCACCCAAAGGTAATGTGTTAGAGCAAAAGGGGAATGAAATGAACATTCACCACTCTTTTTTGTCTTCCCAGCACCTCTGAACACCAGTCCACATTT